AGGAAAATGCAGAATACGTTATCCAGAATCAGTTCCAGGCACAGTTGTTGTCAGCTAGGCAGGTTTCAAATACACTTGCTGACAGCACTGTTGATAACTGTATGCCCCTTCAAGCTTCAGTAGAGGCTGGCTGTTACTCACGCAATCCTTGGCCTGTATCCTCTCCTGCGGGGTCAGAATTCAGTCTTTGGGCTTCAAGGAGTCAAAATGATTGCATAATCTACCTGAGCAGTGCTTAAATGTTCAGCTGTTAAGCATCTAACTCTGATCTCAGGTCCTCAGGATATAACCCTGTTCTGAATTGTTCTGTGCTTTCAGTGCTATAAATGAGATCAGAATCCGGTTATCTTTTTCTACTAATATCATCTCTGTTAGGTTGACTCACCTGGCACACAAGCAGCTGGCATCTTTTAAGATTTTTTTTTTTAATCCATTTACTCACAACTATTTATGAGTTTATACTTGTGACAGGATTTGTTTTAGATCTCTTCCACACAGCACTGTGCTCCACTGATTGTGTATTTTGATAACGAAACCAACACCCAAGGCAGCCTGCGATTTGGGACATATCGTTCTTTATATCTTGTTATTTATTCCACTGGCACCGCCTTTAAAAATAGACTGCAGAACATTATTTTCTCTTGAAAACATGGTAGCAGGTACAAAGCAAAAGCAACACCAAAGTTACTGCAAAGACAAAAGGTACAGGAGAGAGTGCTCATTTGGGGAGATGTGCTCATTCTTTGGAGGAAGAAAAAAAAATAAACAAAGACTCAGAAGAAGCATCCCTCCATCTTTCTCTCAAACCACCAGAACAACAGCTACAGGCAGCCACAGTCTGGGATAAGGTAAAATAAAGATATAGTGCAAAAATAAAGATATAGTGCAAAATATGGAAAGGGTGTGCATTATTTGTATGAAAACCCAGGCCAACTTCAAACCACCTAATACCTGGGGCAGGGAGGGGCTCTGGAGCAAAGGTTCAGGCCATAAAGTATGTGAACACTGAGTTAGTGCTCCAGCTGAAAAGCACTGCAAACATTGGGTGTTGCTAAAATCTTCAGTGGAGGATAAAGATGAGGGTTCAAGAGGGCAACTTATTTATCACCAGTTTCCTGAGAAGGAAGGACAAGAGCATCTGTATCATTAGACATCTTCTACAGCACAGAGCAGCTTTCTCAGCACTTGACACCTGCTTCCCTTGCAGGAGCACACCCATTCTGCTGGGAGATATTCTTGCATCTGCAAATTTGGAAGCAAAGTATCTCTGATGGGAACAGCATCCTTTAGCCCAGGAATGCATATTCCTTTTGTATATTTCTGCCTGCTACAGCCATATCAGTTGGTATAAGAAGGCTACTCTGGAAGTTCAGCCTCTGTGTGGAAACTAAGAAGTGGTAGGTTTGCAATTTTATGCAGTCAATTATTTTTGAATAAATAATACAGATGGGTCAAGACAGGAAGCAGAAAATTAATCGGTTCATTCTTCCTTCGACCCTGTACAAAACACTGTATTTGGTAGGTTTCAAAGCTCTCTTTCTCTTTATTTTTTTTCTTTTTTTTTTTGAGTGTGTGTGTGTGTGTGTCTGAAAATACAATGCCAGATAATTGGAAAGAAAGCTTTTCAAATATTGTACATTGAACATATGCAGTGTTTAAGGGAATTAAAAGGAAAAGAAATAAAAGACAAAGGCAAAAAGACACAATCTCACATCCTGGACAGTTCAAACCCATGTTCCTGTACCTCACAGAACTGCACAGACCAATGAATATATTTCAAAACTCATTGGTTTTCAGGGGTTTTACTTTGGTGTTTTGGTTAGAGAAAACTTTACCTCAGGAAATAAAAGCAAAATGGAGACATGGAGAGGAACTGATGGAAAAGAAGATTTTCGAGGCACAGGACATATCTACCTCTTTTGGCTAAAATGCTACTTCCCCTTTTTCCAAGTAAGTATGAATCCATGATCTGAAATGTCCAAAACTAATAGAGTGTTAGCCAAGACCAGCTATTGAAACTGCTGGGAGCTTCCTGAACACACCAGAAGAGAAACAAAGTCACACAAAAGAACTCGCAGATGCATACTGCTGCCACACTTCCTACCTGTAAGAAAACCTAGCACTGATCTCAGCTGCCTGGAGTAAAATCATTGCAAGAATTTTCCTATTTCATTTTCAAATTGCAGTGTACAATGTATATTCTGTGCATGTTTCTCCAATATACAGTTACATTCACAGCCCAAGTAGGGAAGAAAACATTAATGTGAATGTCTCATTGTTTGAAAGACATCTATTTACATTTGCAGACTGGCCCACTTAAACTAAAGTAGGGATGGCTTGCTTTTAAACGTTAAGATACTTAAGGAAAATCTGTCATAGTAATAGAGTTCATTGCTCGGTTTTGAATGGACTTTATATTTTTTCACTCTTCTTGCTTCTCACCTCCTTATAGCACCACTGCAAATAGCTAGTTCTTTTGATAATATTTTTGTCTCCTCTTAAAATGAGTTTCCACACTTGCTTAATTTTGTATGGCATGAGCAAGAAGCGTCTGAAGCTTGGAGCAGTACATCATTTATAATACCCCTGCTAATTGAAGAAATGTGGGCCAAATCTAAATAGTATGTCAACTTCAGCAGTTTAGGGAAAATTATATGTCAGATACCATTACACTCACAGGATGTAGTAGAAGGAAATAGGCAGTAATCAATACGCAATATCATTGAGTTGGGATTGACTTCTACTTGGCAATGAACAATTTGCTTATGTAGACATACCAGCTCTGTGAAAGTCAGATATCTTTGCTTAGAAGTTTGCACAACCCACAAATAATACAAGACCATTAGGTAGGTAATGTTTGCTCTGTGTTTTTCATTTGCTTACTTGTGAATTGAGAGTTTTTTGTATTTTTTTTTCCCAAACTGAAATGAGTACGAGTAGTACAGGTTGATATTAGTCAGTATTCAAGACTTTATCAAACAAATATGGGTTCATAACCTCTCTTTCCCAAACTATATTTCTACTCCACCACAGCAGCCACTAAATTATTCCCAGCTAAACTCCCTTTCACCATGAATCATGCTACTAATGAGGCATGCCTTCTCTCAAATCCAGAAACCAGGCCCCCCTGCTGTGGAGAGCTAACATCCCATCAGCTCTCATACCCCATGTCTAGCACTGCATAATCCATGCTATGTGCCATGCATATTATGTGTATGCAGCCACCCTTTATCAGAGATAATGCTACCAGGTTTTGGTTTGATTGGCTCAGATGAATGAAGCAAAGCAGCAGCTGGGAGGAGCTATTTGATTAATAATAAATAGATACAAAGATTTATGATTAACATAGAACATCTTAATGATTTACCATAGCAATGAAACCAATAGGCTGGTATTCCAATCTGATTTCTACAAATTTGTATAATCCTCAGGGTAAAACAATTTAATGTGCTGTCTCTTTTATAGTTACAAAAGGCCTTTCATATGATCAATTATACATAAGAGTATAATAAATGTAACTTTCTTCATACTAATCACATCTAACTTAAATTCTCTTGTCGGTCTTTGGAGTGTATGTAGCATTCCCCATAAAGTTTTTAGTCTCAGCTCTTAGCAAAAGTTAATATACCCAGAACTTCCAAATAAATCATCAGTACAAGGGTCTTCACACCAGTAAAACTGTTCAGACAATGCAGTTTATTAGCAAAGCACTCCCTCCTTCTAGTCAAGCCCCTTGCTTAACACAACAAACTTGCTGCTTCTTATGAAGGGGTTGTCTGGAGGTTATGGTGCTGTATCTCTAAAGTTTTGGTAAGTAGTATTTTATCAGTGCCATGACATAGGACAGTGAAAGACTAGCATAACGATAATATAATAATATTTTGCCCTAGTAGATACACTCCAACTGCAAAACTCAACTAGGAATTAGAACTACCTGACGAAACGCACAGACAAGCAGTCTCAAAAGCCATGTGGCTTATTAAAAGTTTCAAGTCAGAATTGCCATCTAATATAATTTTCATTTCTAATTTCTATGGAATTGCATTTCATAAAAATGAAACTGCATGGAGTCCTTTCATCTCAAAGAGAAAGGGTGGGAAGGTGGAGAGAGAGAGAGGGAAAGAAGGAATACATGTACTTCACACATACACTGAAAAATAATTTTGGAGGTACATACAGGGGACCATGGTAAAGATGACAGCAGCAGCAAAGAGCAACAGAAAGAGACTGTGGAGAAAGTCTGCCTACCATGTTTTAGCTATCAGTTTTAGTATGTACAATGTTGTCTGGGATGCATAACTGCAGTATGATACGTGTGCTCATTTATGACCAAACATCCAAGGAATAATCAAAGTGTAAGGATTTAGCTGGGAAACAACTGAGACTACCTGGGCAGGTGCAAAAGAGCAAAGAAGCATTGAGTATTTGAAATCTGGAAAGAGAAGACTTGGCAAATGGCTGCAAGTTCCCATAGTGAGAAAGAAAAATCTATGTAAAAAACATTCTTTACAGGGCATTAGAGACCTTCAGAAGCACTTAGATTTTGGGACCTCCCTTGAAACTAGCTACTGCAAATGTCTTAGAGACTTGATCTCATAGAGAATAGCCTTTGTTCTGCATACTCTTTTTCACTTTGGGGAAAAAAAAAAAAAGAGGAGAGGAGAGGAGAGGAGAGGAGAGGAGAGGAGAGGAGAGGAGAGGAGAGGAGAGGAGAGGAGAGGAGAGGAGAGGAGAGGAGAGGAGAGGAGAGGAGAGGAGAGGAGAGGAGAGGAGAGGAGAGGAGAGGAGAGGAGAGAGGAGAGGAGAGGAGAGGAGAGGAGGAGAGAGAAAAAAGATGAAAAAAAGGTTCTTCATAGGCAGGACTTTGGGATCTGTCTGTAAAAATGCATACACAAGAAGTACACCCATGCCTGTGTAATTAACGGCTTAGAAAAAAAAATGCAACTTAAAACAAATCCATTCAGAGGTTTTGTTTTTTCTCTCTCTTTTTATAACCTTTTTTTTTTTTTTTTTTTTTTTTTTTAAATAAGCTTTTTTATTATTATTATTCAGGTTTTTCCTTTTAACTCCATGTGCCCAAGCTTCCTATTTTCCAAGCAAAAGATCAAATTCTGCCATGTTCACCAGACTCCAAGAACTGGCACTTTAAGAATTCTCCCCCTTCAGTGCTAAGACTCTCAACAAAATCAAAGTTACTTTACTAGCATAAATAACATTGAGTTAATTGCCTATCATACGGTTTTGTAGTATCTGCATGCACTGTCATTGGTGTACTGTTGTGAGTTGACCTGGCTTTTGAAAATATTGCCCTTAAAGTCTGGCACATTTTTGGAACCAGGCTGTCAGTGAAGGAAAAATGAACTGGAACATCATAATCTGCTTCTACCATAGTAAAGAGAGAGACATCTGGTAGGCCACTTGGCAGTCAGCCAACAATGAAGACTTCAATTAAAATAATGAACATGTTCTCAGGAGTACGTCTCTGAACTGAAGAAGTTATAAGTCTCGGCTGCTTCTTGAAAGTTGGCTGTAAGAGGTAGCAGTGGGTTTCTGTCCTCATGGTATACCACGCATACTCTGGTGCTCATGGACCATAAAATCACCAAGCAAAATAAACCTGTAGAGTATCAGAAACAACAATAAAAACAAAAAAAAAAGAATGAGTTAGAGGAGTAAGAATGGCAGTTTCACACTTTCTAGAGCCAAATAAAAGCCAGGACAAGCCCTCTGGTCTATTGGAATTGCTCTAAATTCCAAATCAGGCTGGGAAAACACTAACTTGAGGTCTTCTATAGCCCATTTTTCACGTGTCCTAGATAAGCTCAAGATTTTCTTGAGAAATTAGTCAAGATGTTCAGAAGTTTATGACTAAAGCCAGGGCAGCCTAATTTACCTACCAACACAAATCACCAGCTCCTACTGTCTTGGGTGTCTAACAAAGAGATAGGAATTGTGCTGGCCATCACTTCCCAGAAGAATCACTAAAAAGGAAATCAATGCCCCAGCAGCAAGCTCTTTTAGGAACAAAGCAGTGAGGAAGTAGAGCTATATCAGGTGATGACAGAGCACAGTAGAATTCTGTTATTTTGGTTTCAAAGCAAATTCCTAGCTGTGATTTGGCTTATGGTCAGCAAGTGAATAAAATTCCAACAGTAGTGGCATCCAGATCTGGATGCAACTAACCCAGACTATCACTAACAAAAATGTGCAGCTGGAGTAGATTCTCATCAGTTCATTTGCAGTGAAGAAAAAAAAAATAACTATAATAAAATGCATGCCCTAGCCCAATTTTGGAATCTAAAAGAGCAGCAGATATCCAGTAGATGTGCTATATTTAAACAAGAGGCTGGACACAGCAAAATGTGTCAACTAATGAGGCAGCACAGAAGTTCCTTCATAAGACCATTTAAATTTGTAATGGTAATTGCTTTATGGCATTGTGAGGTCATTACAATTTGAGATTAAGATGGCCAAATTGTTGCAGGAAAGATCTTTGGAGACCCTCTCACAAAGCCATTATGAGCCTGTGTTACACACACAAAGTGATTTCAAGGCATGACTTGGAGAAGACCTCACTACAGTGTGCTTATGGTAAAATTACATTGCGAGACTACAATAGGAAATAAGACTGCAGTGCAAGTCTGTGGAGATTAGACTCAATTATGATGTCAAAACAAACTGAAACAATGTCAATGCAAGTTATACCATTAAGGTTGAGGCTTAAACCTAGGAAAGCAAGGAAATTCTGCATTAAACCTGCCACATTACCTTTAAATCACACCCTTGCGCTAAGGTGTTACAGCAGGTAGAGACCCCTGTTAAATCGCCTCACAGCTCTGGGTATTGTTACATACTGCAGATGATCTCTGTACAAAACCATTGTAGTTTCATTGAACAAATGTTTAAGTGATTAACCTGAAGTGTTTAACCTATAGCTGAAGATTCAACGAAATTCAAAGTTAGAGTGCGAATTCCAGGTGTGGTGGTTTTACTCAGCTGGGCAGCAGAACTCCACCACAGTCGCTCTCTCACTCCCCCTCCTCAAATCAAAAAGGGGAGAAAATACGATGGAAAGGGCTCAAGGTTTGAGATAAGGACAAGGGAGATCACTCAAAAATTAGTGTCATGGGCAAAACAGACTCAACATAGGGAGATTAAAATAATTTATTACTAACAAGCTAGAGCAGTGAGAAACTAAAATAAACTAAAACCACCTCCTCCTCTCCCCCATCCTTCCCCCTTCACCTTCAGTCTACTTCCCTGCTTCCTCCCCCAAACAGCATAGGGAAACAGGGGAATGGGGGCAGCGGTCAAGTCTATGGCACTTCATCTCCGCAGCTCCTCTTCACGGTCCCTCTCTGCCCCTGCTCCCCATGGGGTCCCTCCCACGGGATGCCGCCTTCCCCAACTGAGCCTGCGGGGGCTGCCCACAGGCAGCAGCTCTTCAAGCACTGCTCCCACACGGCTCCGTACCACGGGGTCCATCCATCAGGAGCAAACTGCTCCAGCACGGGTCCCCCACGGGTGGGCGGCAGCTCCCCTCCAGGCCCCCTGTTCCTGCGTGGGCTCCTCTCCACGGGCTGCAGCGTGGAGATCTGCTCCATGTGGGACCCATGGGCTGCAGGGGGACAGCCTGCACCACCAGGGGCCTCTCCACAGGCCGCAGGGGAACTGCTGCTGCCTGCCTGGAGCACCTCCTGCCCTCCTGCTGCACTCACCTGGGGGGCTGCAGGGCTGCTTCTCACTCCCCTCTCCCAGCTGCTGTTGTACAGCAGTTTTAGATTATTTATTTATTTATTTATTTATTCTTCTTTAACCCATTTCTTCAGTCTGCTTTCCCAGAAGCCCAACCAGTGTTGCTCACTCGTTCAGCTCTGGCCAGCAGCAGGTCCCTTTTGGAGCTGGCTCTGAACTGACACGGGGCAGGCTCTGCTCACACAAAGCCACCCCTGAAGCCCCCTGCTACCAAACCCTTGCCATGTAAACCCAACATACCAGGTTAACAGTTTATATCTCACTGGGTGCATTGTGGCCAGATTTTACGTGTAAGGGCCTGATCCATTCCACAAAACAAATTTAACAATTTAGTCACTTTGAGTTGAGATAGAAGTGCAGCTTCCGATGTCCTTGGCTTTTTCATGGCAATATGCAGAGCATCAATTGGAATTATGTACCATTGAGCACAGGCTGGATAAAATACAGGAGATGCTATTCTTGCTCCTGAGAACTTACAGCTTAGCTTAATATATGAGGTAAAGAAAATGTCAGACTGCTGATTTTTGCAATGTGATTTGTAAGGAAGGATGTCTTCTGAGTGAAATGTAGACTTGTACCAGGGCCTACCTGGGTGCAACAAACTTTTTGTCCAAAAACAAAATGGGAGGTTGGACTGGAAAAAATATCTTAAAGTTTTCTAGACTGATTCCCTCAAGGAAGAAACCCAGTGGCCATACAAACTCTCCCTTTTAGCTTTAAAAAATGCCAAAGAACAGAACTTTAAAGAATCACCACTCACAAATTAGTGGATTGCCTGTCACAGGAGTAATAAAAATATAAATGTCTGAAGGTTTGATTCAGTGTGAGACTAAACATTTTCTGCAAGTCAGCACCCAGTCTGTTGACTGAGGTTTGAGGGGACTTGCAGTTCTTTGGAAAATGCTCAGTACAGCAGTGCCTACATGCATGATCCTACATTTGGCCGAGCTCAGCATGGACAAGCTCAAGCACCCTGATGCCACAGCTCTTGCTCATGGCATAAGAGCTTGTCCTAAGCACTGTTCTGTTGAATGGGTGCAATCTCATGGGCAAGGATCACATCAGGGATTCAAGACCAGTAGGATCAGGCTCCAAGGGACCAAACCCAGTTGGTGGTCTGGAAGGAGAAAGCAATGAGGAAGTTCTGAAGAGAGTAAAAGCTCTACTGCTGTATTTCAGTCATGTGTTGACAATTACTTTCCATATGACACATGCAGCTCACAGACTTCCACATGCTGAAGTGTTGGTTCTTTTGGATATTGGAACTATGAAAGTGTAAATGATGCTGGACTGAAGATTTAGCTGACATAAGCTGGCTAATCCCCAGTGACTTCAGTGAAGTTGCATCAATTTTTTTGCCAGCTATGGATCTGGCCCATAAAACCTGTATATCATTTCCTGGAGAGCATATCAACTGACAGAGAGCTGATAGCCTGTATGTTGACTTTTCTTTCGAGACTTAGTACAGCTGTGCAAAACACCTTGGACTGACTTCGCAGGGGCTCCACAGACAGTTTATTTCTTTAGTTTTGTTTCTCTTGTGTTTTGTGACTTCTGAGGCCTGTTCTGAGATCTGGCCTCAAACCAATGCAAACCCCAACCCAGTTCCCCCTCTATCAGCTCATTTTGTAATCCCACATCTGTCCAAATCATAGCAAACTAACCCTGGGTTCACCAAAATGTCTGTAAGCCTTGGGTGAGCTTGTCTCAGTTGAAGGGATAGTAATTGAACCTCCTTGGGTTTTGCTACAGGATTTTCATACAGCTTTAAGTATGTATCCACTTTTTTTTTTTTTTTTTTTTTTTCTAAGAGAGATTCCTTCTGTTGTTTTATATTGGTGTTATCCACTGTGCTAATTATACCAGCATCGCCATGTGCATATTGATACCATCAATTAGCATAAAGATTCACTCCTCAAAAATACGTGGCAGTGTCTCTCTGACTCATTTGCCATGAGGGTAATATAAGTGAAGTACAACACCGTAATATACCATATTTAGCTCTGAGCTGTAATCATCTTTATTAATTGCTTAATGTAGCAATGCCTGCTGCAGGAAGTGCCATCCTGCAAGGTCCTTGTTATCTCCTGTGAGGTGCTATGGGTCCATATCTCTCCCTGAGATCACATGCAGGGATGGGCACTCAGGATCTCTGAGGAAGAATTCTGAATTTTGCCAGTTCAGGTGGTTAGTACAGTCTGTAGCCCTAAGTGAATACAGCTCACAACAAGTGTCCCTGTGTGTGCAGAGGAGGAAGGTCTACAGATGGCTGTCTTTGGCTAAGGATCCAAAGGAAGAGCTGCTAATGCCAGATAATCCTCAAGGTCCCAACAAAGAGAGCACTGGAACAAACAAACAATGCTCAGCACCTCAAAATACTTCTGGAAAGTGGTCGTGCCTTGTTTGTAATTTCAGTGAAAACCTATGTTACTCTCAAGAGCAAAATAAGGAGACTAATGAAGGAAAAGGAGAGGGCTATAGCTTGGAGAGAAAAATAAAGGATGCATAAAATGTGTCTGTGGTTGGGGCGGGGGGGGAGCTAAAGTAACTCAAAGGGAGAGGAAGAGAGTCCCAGATACCATGGTGAGGGGCCAGAGAAAGACTCAGCCTGCTCTGAGGTGACAGAGAGACTGCAGGAAGGGAACAAGAAGAAAGAAACAGTAGGAAAGAATGAGACTGGAAGGCAACAAAGAGCAAGTGGGGGAGAGAAAATAGGAGTTGTCAAAAATGTTCTGTCTTCAGAACTAGACTCAAAAGATATGACTAAAATGCCTTCACAAGCTAATATAAGGGGCATGAGTGCTAGTTTTCAATACTTTTTCTAAAGTGGCATTGCTGGGAAGTACCAAGTACTTCTAAAGA